AGCAGAAACACCCAGTAGCTTCCAGGAGCGGATACAAGCCCTGGCAAATAGCTAGCTGGATGAGACCTCAGTCCCACAACTGGCAGAAATGAATGTGCTTGAAAGACAATATTTTTCTGAAGCCCTCAAATGAAAATGACAAATAGGCCTCAATTTGACTGTGAGACCCTGGGCAGAGAACTCAGCTGAGCCTACCTGTACTTCAGACCTGGGAGATATTAAATGGGCATGCTTTAAGCCTCTGAATTTGTGGTAATTGTTTATATGGCAGTAGAAATCAAGCAAGGTTGGAGAGAGGAAAAGCTAAGGGCCATTTCAGAGATTATAAAACTAATCCATTTTAAAATAAATCAGTATCTCAATGAAAGAGGTTGCAATGGAAATAAGCAAGGTGGATGGGAGGAGGGTTACAAAGTGGATGCACTCTATAGACTCCATGTGATCTGAGAAAAATCAAATAAGGACCCTGACATAGAACCTGGGTGACTGAAAGAAAGGGTAGTGGGGTCAGCCATAAAAGTTTGCGAGCAAGAATATGCTTGGAGGGTAGAACTGATGAGTTTCATTTTCCCACGTGCTAAATTCATGATATCAACAGGTTATCCCCACACTTACTAAAAGCAGGTGCTGAAGCCTCACAGAGAAGTCAGGGTCAACCATGTCAATTGTACCTACCCTGAGAGCTAAATAAAAGCACAGTTAATGTGACTTAAGTGAGGGAACAATCAGTGAGAAACACTGGGCAAGGGCCTCTCCCACCCTAATGTAGAGATGCTTTCCCTTGGCATTGACGATGTTCTGTGTAGGTAATGATCTTCTTCTGCCTTGAACATGGTATTTAAAAATCTCCTGGAAAGTCTCCTGCTTAATGCAAAAAGCATTCAAATACCATCCTTTCCATGCAATGTATCTTCTGTGGTTTGCAGGGGGGGGGGGGAAAGCACTCGTCAATCAAAATTACATAAGTATTTCCAAAGTTAATTAATAAGCTATCCCATGTCCCCAGGAGACTATATTTGCCCAGGAACAGACCATATGTTATCATCTTCAAATTCTTACACTAAATTAACTGTCACCATCAAAATAGATATAAAATATTGACTGGAGAGATGAAACAAAGATGGGAAAAATTAAAAAAGAAATGTAGGAACCAGAGCCCACAGCTGCAAATGCAAATACAGCATTATATGACATTAACTTTACATGACATTTCCTGTGGCTGTGGGAGCAAATATTATTCATTCACTCCAAGGTACCAAAAAAAAAAAAAAAACCCAAATGAAACAAAACAAAAACTCAGGTAAAGGGCCAACTACAAGAGCATGAGCTTCACCACTAAAGAAGATCCCTTCCCCAAAATCATTCACCACTTACATATCCACAGTGAGGGCTGTGGAGTTTCCTGTGCTGCCCATACTCCTCAAAAGCACTCCTTTCCACCCACAGAGAAATGTTAGTGGGCCCAGTCTTGTGGAAATCTATGTGGATTATTACAGCTGGCCTAATTTTAAAACACTCATGGTCATGCCATACTCAGTGATAGTGTTCCACAGTATGTAAGTGTTTGATAATGGTTTTTCATGGGACATGAATGTACACAGTGCCCAAGAATGCTAAAAGAAAAGTTATGCACAGTGTCCATATACACATATAGATCTAGCCTTTTGCAGCCTAAAGTATTCATCTCAACAGACTCTAATTCAACAGACTAAAATTCAAATTGTGTCTTGCTGTGGTTTGCAACTTACGAAAAACTCTTTGCGTTTAGGAAAGAGAGGAGAACGGTTTTAACAGTAACACTAGTATATTCGGTATGTCCTATTACTGAAAATTAAAACAACTCAATTAATCTGACACAATAGAGAAATCAAATACAAGACATTTGTACCAGTGATGTATTTAGCTCTGAAGTTACTCTTTGTGAAAAGCTGTGAATCCTCCATAAATCATGAAATCCTAAATTGGAGGCTGGCCAAAATGAGCAAGCCTGTGATCTAGTTATTTATTCTTTGGGGGAGAGAAGGCATCAAAAGATACCAACATTCTGAAACAATTTAGATGACCAGATCTGAGATTCTGAGGCCCTAGCAACAGAAAACATCCCCCCACTCCCCACCCCCCACCTCTCTACCCTGACCCCCCACCTCCACCCCTGCCCTGCTTACTGAAGCATCCCAGTGGCAACCACAAGAGTTCTGATGAGGGAACAGTGTGCTTTCAATGTAATTTACTTTCAAATCAGCTCCCTAAGAGTGGCTTAGAAGACTGGGACAGGTGCCTTTGCTTGTCTTTGATGGACAAACTGCTCCTGGATTCCCATTTCCTCTATGCTACATCTTTCTGGGAAATCGGCATAAATGAGCCTTAAATGGTTTAAGATTTGGATCCTCATAGTGTGTTGCTGATTTGGTTCAATGGTTTCCACATTGGGATTCTATTCCAGTTTCCAAATTACAGCTGAAAGTCACTAATTGGGATCATTTCAGATGTTTAACACCATACTTTCCTTGTTTTGAATCTAATAAATAAATGGTCACTAAAATGCAAGGATGAGTGTGGTCTGATGACTGCTTGCAACAAAAACTGACAGGCAATTCTCCTAAGTCTCAGACAGCTCTTCCTAAGCATTTGGTATATTATGCTGGCCACCATATCACTATTTTCTCCTCACCCTTAATCCACTCCCCATCCCAGATCACCATTATTCATAGCCACACCCTCCCTGCCTGGCTCACTCCCTCTCCACTCCTCTGGCAGGGTCTTACTTAGTCTTGCCATAATGTAGACAAGGGTGGCTTTGAACTCATATATAGCTTTTTGCTGGCTTCCAATGTACAATCCTCCAAGCACTCAGCCCCCTGGGTGCTAGGATTATAGCAATGTGCTATTAGGCCCAAAGGAGAAAATACAAGCACAGAGAAGTGAATGCTCATTCAGTTAGAAAGAGGCAATGGTGTAGAAGGTATGCAATCATTTCCACAAATTATAAGAACTATATAAATTACAGAGCAACAAACTGCAGTGGAAACATGCCCCGTGTCCTGGAGTTAAAGGCACGAGGGAGCCAGGCCCTTGGAGATACTAAGAGAAAGAGGATGGACTTTTCACACTGAGGACTCTGGCTGCACGAGACAGGACCTGAAGGTGCTTTCGGGTCACAGTGACCACAGTAAGCTGGAAGAATCAAGAATTTTCTTCTCAGTTTGGCATTGCTTCAAGGCAGAGCATGAAGACATGTGAGAACATTTCACACAACTGAGACAGAGCAGAAAGAGGAGGGAACACAAAGATTCACAGGGGAAATCAAAGAGTAAGTTTCCAGTGCCTATTGAATTTTGCAATTAGGTTTTCATTATTAATCACAAAAGCTATTATGTTTTCTGTGCTGGGTGAAGATCACCCACATGATCTCATTGAAGCCTCTCAACTACTCTTGAAGTATGTGTTACTATCTACAGGGTTACTCCTGGGGTGGCTAAGGGCAAAATTCAAACATCAGAACAGTAGGTTGAGAAATGACAGAGTGAGGAGAATACAGTCTGCATTTGGGATAAATTTGGGATAATTTGAGATGAAAGGGATTGAGTCTCTACTAAAGATTAGTCATGTGCCAGTCACTGAGTATTGCTTTCTAATATGATTCCAACAAAACTAAGAGGAGTTTATTATTATTCACCAACAAAGGAGAAACTAGAATCTGAAAGCTATGTGACCTATGAACCTATTTCTTTTCCAACATGCCCATGCTCCAGAGAGAGGACAGCTATCTGTGAGGGTTCCTGAATCAGAGTTCTGCTGCTGCTGGGAATTATGGCAAGGACATGCCCAGGAATTGTTGGTTCAAACCAGTTGAAATGTCATTTCCATCCTTTAAGAGTGTGGTGACCACAGCCTAGAATTCAGGCTCCTTGGGTTTGGAGTTCAGCTGTGCCATTTACTAGGTAGGCATCACCGTTTCTGCCAGTCTCGTAGTCTGTAAAGTGAGCTTTGTGTTGATGCTTCTCTGAAAGCAATACCTGCAGCCCACGATGGGTGATATATGCCTTTAATACAATGCCATGGAGGCTGAAGCAGTAAGTGTAAGTTCAAAGCCAACTTTGACTATACAGTGAAGCCCTGTCTGGGGTGGAGGAAGACAGGAACTGCCAGGCATATGGTGTCTGCAGCCAGACTACTGGCCAACAATTTTACCTCTGTTTTACACCAGAGAATGGGGGGAGAGCTGGGACATCAGAACTAGTTACATTCGAGTCAGCTCTATACACCAGGTCCTTTTAGAATCCGGTGACATGCTCTCATGTCAGCATTCCTCAGGGAAACCCACTGAGAAAGGGTCTGGTAGGGTGGCAGTGGACTTGCAGAAGTGCAATTTCATATCATTTTTCTCCTCAGAAGAAGATGAGGATGCGTGTGAAAAGGAAGAGCTGAGATGGGTTAGGGTCTGTGATGATCGGTAGGTGTCTGCATCCACAGACATCCCTCCCAAGGGACCCAGGAAGAGAGCCAAGCGTGGTGTTCTCTTATCAGAAGAATATACACCAAACTATAGTAGCAAACACCTCCACAACGACCAGCAGAAAAGGAAGAAACTCTCCTATTTGTTTCTACCCTTTTTGCTAGCAGGAATGTAGCCACCATACTTAAACAGATTTTTTAAGTCCCTCCTACTCTTGCTCCAGCTTCCCCTTGCCAGAGCCACCTGCCCCTCCCTGTGCTCCCTTCCCCTTTCTCTCCAGCCTTCTGGTTCTGGTTCGCTTGTTACTTCCCTCCCAGCTTCTCTCCTGGAGAGAGTTGTGTCCCAGCTGCCTTAGGAGGGAGAGCTGGAGGCTAGAGGGAGAAATTGGCCAGAGGCGAACTGGACAGATTGGATCTGGGCAAGAAGGAACAGAACGAGTCTTGCTCTGTGTCTCTGCCTCTCTGTCTGTCTCTCTGTGTTTGTCTCTGTCTCTGTCTCTGTCTCTAACACACACACACACACACCACGTCCTCTGAGAACACACACACACACACACACACACACACACACACACACACACACACTCACACACACACACACCACGTCCTCTGAGAACTCAGCTGGCTGCGACCGCTCACACCCCGCCCAGGCGCGCGTCCCAGCCGGTGGAGCGCAGATCCAGATCCCCAGCGCGGCCACTTGGCCCGGTGTTCCCGAGCCTCAGGTGGCGCAGGAGGGAGAGTCCGTGAGTGACAACCCGGCTGCGCACGCCAAGACCTTCAGCCCGCCGGTCCTCGAGGGGAGCGGAGCGGGCGCGTCTCTTGCCACTCAGAGCCCACCTGCCGGCCCTCCAGGGCCCGGCTCCAGCTGTGCCCTGGTCCAGGCGCCTGCTCCGCAGCTGGAGCGCCACCCAGGCTCTGCCTCCGTCCCTTGTGCCTCTGGAGCACCCCAGGCGACCCGAAAAATCGCGGCGCGACAGCGGGAGCTCGCAATGGCCAGAGCACACGGGTTGCTGTGTCTGTGGCTAGGTTGCTTCTGCCTGAACCTGGCACAGGGACAGAGATTGAGCCTCCATCTCCCTGAGCTCCGGGGAACTGGGACAGGCGACCGAACGACAGGTGGTGACCCGAGCCCGGATCTGCCGCGGCACGACAAGGTGTCCGAGCATATGCTGTGGCTCTACGACAGGTACAGCGGCAGCACCAGGGTCCAGGACACCCGGACACTCGGCTCGCAGCCCCTGGGTCCCCAGCCCCTGCGCGGTGGCAACACAGTCCGCAGCTTCCGAGCCTCAGCCGCAGGTGAGTGTCGGGAGGTGGGGAGCCCTTCCCGCCCCGGAGTGCAGAGGGCAGCCCCTCCCGCCTTGCCACCCTGTCCTGGGACCTCTCTGGCGCGCTGCCTTCCGGTTCCCACTGCCCTTTCGGAATTCTCCAGCAGCGTTCTGGACGAGCCCAGTTTAAGCCGTTCTGAGACTGGAAAGTGCGAGAGAAGATCTGGGATGGTAGTTGGTGGGGTTCAGTTAGAGGTGTAGCGAAGGAAGAGGCCAGGGGACAACACTGAAGCAGACTAGCTCTTTCCCGGGCACCCCTACGGAGATCTTATGCTGGTGATTTAAAAACTGCTCAGCGGAAATTCCTTCCGACAGGCTGTGGCTGCGTTTATACTGAAATGGATGCCATTTTATGCCAACGTAGGGCCCGGAGAGAAATATGCACTCAACAGGCACTTCCCCAGACACAGCACTCTTAACTCAGCGACCTTTGTGTTGTCATATCTGACACTTTCTTCTTGATAGTCCCCTAGTGGCAAACACACAAACAAAACCAGGTGCGTGAGTGTTTAGATTATTTCTAACCCATCTGGGCAAATAAGTCTTTTGTGGTCCAAGCTGGGAAGAACCGGGGATGGGAAGAGGCCGCCCGGTGGAGAGAAGGTGGAGAGAAAACCTTTTAGTATCGGGGATGAAAATCTTATCTTCAACATTTTCAACACAGATCATTGAGACCGAAATTCATGGCTTAATGCCACCCCAGCCCTAGTGCTGAAGTGAAGGATTTACTCCAACAGCCTGAGGGCAAATTTCCTGGACACTCACTGTTTATCTTCTCTGGGGACACACTGGGGGTTGGGTGTCCTACCTTCACGATTAAGGAATAGGTGATTGCAAAGTCTGCCTTTCAGGAGAGAATGTTCAAGGAAAGAAGCTGTGTCTCCACTGCTCTGTCAATTTTTTCCAATTTACTGGATGGCTTTCCCCCCAACTTCACTAGTTAGGACCCCTGGCAAAGGGGAGGTTACCCATCAAGGAAAGCCCTTGCTTGTTACTGTGAACTCACTCTGCAACTCAGAGGCATGATGACAGCTACACTAAATGTGAGTTATGCTTTTAACACAGAACTCTTTAGTTAGTCGCTGAGCTAAGTCAGACTTTCTTCACAGACCCATGGGCAGGACCCGTAAAGAGCTGTCCTCTACTGAGCACACAGAAACCTCTATCTTGCCTGATGCATAGCATCCTAGCCACTTACAGAGGCTACCTTGACAGCTGACCACAGCAGTGACCCCTCTGTTTATATTAATGCATCATCCAGGGCAGAGCTCAGCAAAAGAGCAGTGTGGGGCTAAAAAGGTCTGGAAGGAAGCTGGTGGGTGGGCAAAGCAGTGGACAATAAGGAAGACACCCAGATCTCTCTGGCTGTGATATAGCTGAGACACCCAAGTGACAAATTTCTTTTTGTATCAACAAGTTTTATTTTTTAGTGTGTGTCACAATGTTTGAAGGTAAAACTTGCTTTTCTACCATTCACACACATTGTTTAGACGGAGTACATCATAGGTAAGAACTTAATCACATCTCTGGCTTTCACTCATTCCACCCACTATAATTCCAATGTCCATTATCAGCCTCACCGTAGTCTTATACCATCAAATGATAAACTCCGTTACAGAGGCCAGACACTCCTTTAAGTGATGGATTGAAACTTGGTACATGTATACAAGTCTGTGTGCCCTGATAAGAAAGTAATCCCTTTACTGTCCTACAAACTGTTGTAATGACTTAATCATCAAATGTAGACACTGTGTGTGTGTGTGTGTGTGTGTGTGTGTGTGTGTGTGTGTGTGTGTAAGTGTCATGTTAGCTCCCATTGGAGACTCCTGGAGAGGTGGTTCATATTGGACTCCTTCCAGAATGTTTGGTTACTCCCACAGTGACAAGATCTTGTTATAAGACCTTGAGGCCTTGATGTGAAACTCCAGGATGGAAGTTGCTAGAGTGTTCATGTGTTTCTCTCCCTTCATCACTATCAGTATCCCAACACACACTTCACTTGGTGTTGATGTAGGCAAAATACACTGTCTGTGTCAATAAATTATATTTGTTTTTCCAGCACAACATGCTTAAGTTCCACAACATATGTGTCTCCTTCTCCCTTAGATATTACAGACCTTATGGAAGGCCGTGTGTCTGTGCTCTGTATATACCAGGCACTTCTAGCACTTGTTCAGGCTGAGTTATAGCCTTAGAGAGCCATTTGCTCCTTGGAACATGCCTGATTACAATTATTTATTGTTCTTACCCTGGAATAACTGAAATGTAGCTGATTACTTCTTACTTAAACTATTACTTGATAGTGGGTGGCATGGATCCTAAACACACTTTGTGCTAACCCTTTCTCCTCTCTCAACTCCAGGAAGTTGATGTGCCAAAGTCATGAGATTGGTGTCTTGTAAGCTTTTCTTTTGAAATGTAAAGATGGGTTTTTGTTGTTTCCTTTGTAAAAGGTGATTCACAAAATTGTGGCTCACAAAGAAGTCCAATCTGCTAGAAACACATCATCTGGAGGGAAGACAGATGCTGTGAGATTAACTATTATTTAAAAATTGGTTTAAATTTGTCTTCAGCCACTATGGGATAACACAATACTTTATGTAATTTTCTCCTGTCCTGATCCTTCATAGGATACAATTTATACACTTTATTTCCATAGTCACTTGATCTTACTTTCTCAGTAGTAACTTCTCTAGGAAAAGCAATAGAAGCTTACTTATTAAAAAACCATCACTACTTATGGCAATCAACTTTAAAAAGCTCACATTCCAGTGGATGTGTATCACTTCAAGAAAATTATACTTGCCCTCATGAATAGAAGAAGCTAAGTTTGAAGTATCGCAGACTCACAAGTAAACATTTTGGCTTAGTGGAGAAGGACAGGGAGATTCTTACCTAATGTGAATGGAAATCTTTCAATGTAAAGAACTGTGACTGTGGCATTTTTTTCTGAAGTGCAATGCTAACCTATAAGGCTGTAGGAAGGTAGATATATGGTTCAGGCCTGAATAATCATCACTTGACTAGAAGCCAGTGCCCTGAAGGATACATGAACTAGTGGGAAAGGGCCATTTTTTGCTATGTTCCATGGCAAGAGAATATAATGACGTTATTATGATATAGTAATCAAGATTCCCGGCACCTAGAAGCAAGACTTGAAACTATAGAGTCCTTGGATCATATGATGTTTTTATTTAAGAGACAATAGTACATCTGGAGAAGAAGGAGCTGGGATACACAGCTGCTTTGAATTATACGAGACTTTGAATACATGATAGCCTCTAATGAAGTTTTACTGTAATAGGCAAGACAGCTTTACAATTCCTGACATTTAAAAATCTATAATACCACAAATTCTTGATTATTCATGCTGGGTGAAAGAAAAGGGGGAATGAATTACATTTTTTTTTAAAAAAAAATTCAAATGTAGCTTTGTGATGTAGTTCTAAGCACTCTAAGACCCTGAAAGACCATGAAGGTCAATGTGAAAAACTCCTAAGCAGATAATTCACACAAGAAGGTGATTTACTCAATTTTAGGCACTAAAAATGCATACATCATAAGGAATTGAGAGGGATACATACATTGCCTGAGCCATGGAAGCTCTTAAGTGCTTGTTAGTTTGGTTCAAATATTTTAATCAGATAGAGATATGAAGGCCAAATATACTTCTAGATTTTTTTTGCATTATAAACTTTTGTATTAGGAAGACAAATTGAAGGAATCAAGTCCTTTATTGGAAGCAGAAATGGGCTTCGTAACATATTTGCTGAACAAATTTTCAGTATTATTTCAACCCTATTCTTTCTAGTAGCCTGATCTTATTTTGTGAAGGAAAATTTCACAGAAAGAGGTTTCTGGAAAGTATTGCATAAAATGGGGTACTGGGGTCAAACAAGTTAGAAAGAATGATCAGTGTGGAACAGCCCTTTAATGGTGGTATCCCCTCCTAAGAGCTAATTTTCTCCTTTGTCCACAAGAGAACCTTCTGAGAATTGTGGCCCTAGGACATCTAGTTGGGAAAACATTGGTTCTAAAGCACCCGCAAAAGATCTGCAAAATTCAGAGACTGGCTCACTGTAAATGACTTGTGCTCTCACTTCCCAGCAGTACACTCTGGGGACAAATGATTACATCGTCACTTTTGGGACTTAGGTCCATTTGGCACTGTCCTGTCTTCTTGTTTCCAGGTTGTAAACTCCTCTGAGTATTACCATAAAGTCTCTCTGTTTTTGCATTTTATTTTCTCCACTTCTATAGGGAGTTAGTCTTCCATTGTTTTCTTCTCTGTGGTTGATACTCATTGTTTTACAGTAGGCATAATAGCAGGAAAAGAAAAGTGGGGAAATTCAGTAGTGGAAATACACATCATTTCATTGGGTCAGCATTCAGACCTTGATGAGAAAAATATTTACTCAAGGCTTCTATCAGTATTTATGTCCAGTATTTTCTGTGTTTAACAGATATACTGAAGCCATACATACCAGGAATCCCTGTGACAGTTGTTGAACAGTTATGATCTAATCATGTTTCTGAGCTGTATTATGGGGAAGAACTTTTATAGCCAAATTTCGATGATTTTTCCCATTTGTTGATTTTGCATATCCTGATAATTAGTCTCTTCGTCATTTTATTGTGGTGGTGGTGGTAGTAAAAGAAAGTTTGAATTCTTACTGTTAAGAATTTGAGAGCGAGAGAGAGCTTGTATGACAGAGAGAGAGAGAGAGAGAGAGAGAGAGAGAGAGAGAGAGAGAGAGAGAGATCTAGGTGGCCTTAGAAGCCAGATGAGAGTGTCAAATTCCTTGGATCTGAGAAGATAGATAGCCATCTGCTAAGCTTCTTTTGAAGTCTCCACCATGAAAAAAACATAACACAAAAGAGACAAGAAATAGAATAATAGCCCGCATTTCAGAGAGTGTTTGTCATCTTGGGATTCTGAACACTCTGAGGCAACCTACCAGCAGTGGCCCT